CCCTGGGGGGGGGGGGGGCAATTTATCTTAAATCGAGCGTTTGACTAGCTGGATTTACTGCTTTTGTAGCCTTCTTAAGCTCAACGTATTTCATCTTTGAAATTAAATACAAATATTAGATTAACAGAAATATATGAAAACAACAACAACAGAAAGGACATATCTGTTATAGATGACGAAGCAGATATAAATTTAGTCGCCTAAAGAAATAAAACAAATCAATAACACCGTATTTATATTTATAATAAGTCAATATTACCGTACTTATATTTATAATAGGTCAATAATACCATATTTATATTTACAACAGGTCAATAACACCGTATTTATATTTATAATAAGTCAATATTACCGTACTTATATTTATAATAGGTCAATAATACCATATTTATATTTACAACAGGTCAATAATACCGTATTTATATTTATAACAAGTCAATAAGACCGTACTTATATGTATAAAGAATCAGTATTATCATACATATGTATATATATGTATTTGCTCTGTCGTATTCAGTTTAATGTCTCGAATATTAAATGAAATTTTAAGATTTTATCAGTTTTTGGTATGATTTTTTTTCTTTCAGAATAATATTAAACTATTGGTTTTGGTAAATGTTTTAAGATATTGGGTGGTGGTAAGTTGCATAGCTATAGATAATAATAATAATAGTTATTATTAATTATAGAACTTAAACATGTCATTTTATATATATACAAAATGCATGAAGAATAAAAATCCTGCTTTCAAGCCTACCTGCTGCTGGATCCGAAGTTATTTCGCCAGCCACTAGTGCGTGAAATGGAGAATGACGAAAAGCGTACTTTCTAAAAAGTGTTTCCACGGGCCCTCTGCTTTAATAGAACATGAAGCATTTGTTAAGCAGAAATAAAGTAAAGAAATAAAAAATACACATGTGACAATTTCTTAATATCCTATAAATTAACAATGTGGAGATGGAGGGGAAAAACAGAAAGAGAGGTAGATAACAACAATTTGAGAAACCTTAATGATTGGCGCAGAAAGAAAAATTAAAAAGTGCATATAGTTCATGACATTGAAAGAGTTTAGAAGTGCATATAGTTCATGACAATGAAAGAGTTAAAAAGTGCATATAATTCATGACAATGAAAGAGTTAAAAGGTGCATGTAGTTCATGACAATGAAAGAGTTAAAAGGTAAATGTAGTTCATGACAATGAAAGAGTTAAAAAGTGTATATAGTTCATGACAATGAAAGAGTTAAAAAGTGCATGTAGTTCATGAAAATGAAAGAGTTTATACAGCACATCATATAGAAAAGTGACAGAATGAGTAGAATTATGAAAATACAAATGAGAAAAATCATTAAATGTTAAGAAAATGATAATGATAAAATTAATATAGTGCAAGATGAAGAGTATATTTTTTAAGAAAACACAACAAAAATTTACAAAATTCACGTATACTTGCAATTCTGAAGGTTGAAGTGTGTTAGCTGTCTTTGGTTGTTGTTTTTTTTTCTCAGTCCAGATTTAAAAACAAAATGGGTATTGAAGATCAATACCTCGAGGAAAATATATGTGTGAACTCAACTCTTGGTCGGTTGTTATTTGTTGATAAGGGTAGACTTGGCATAAATATACCAGTAGTGAACACAAATTCATGCACAATGCAATACGTTACTACTGGTGATGGGTGGTTAAAAAAAAGAAAATAAGAAGGGTAACAAAGAATAAAAAAGAAGCCACATGTTGAACAAAAATAATGTCATTCTAAGAGTGGATTTTATTTTTCGCACTTAACATAATTAACAATGAATATCTAAATAAAACTACACACTGTTCTTATTCATTGTTATTTATTTATTTAGGTCTAGGCCAGGTAGGTATACATATTAGTGTTTGTTTGTGGAACACTGCGATATTGTTAGAAACTAATGATGTGGTGTTTCAGCGACCTCTGGTTGTTGTAAATATTGACGTATTTCGTCATAACAAATGCCAAATTTTTAAGTTTTTCCTGTATTAGGCACTGATTTTATCTCGCTAGAATTTAGGTAAAGGAAGTGGTCGTCGTTTCAAAAACTTTCGGATAGATGTTGTTGCCAGGAAGTGGTCGTCGTTTCAAAAACTTTCGGATAGATGTTGTTGCCAGGAAGTGGTCGTCGTTTCAAAAACTTTCGAATAGATGTTGTTGCCAGGAAATGGTCGTCGTTTCAAAACCTTTCGGATAGATGTTGTTGCCTCTCAAGTATACGGAAAGAAAATTGTATTATGGACATGTGCTGTACACGCACACCTCGTACAGCACGTATCCGTAGTACACGCACACCTCGTACAGCACGTATCCGTAGTAAACGCACACCTCGTTTTTGACTGTACCACTTTTAATTTCCTCCAACTCCTCCAAGAGGAACTTACTATTACGTATTTGTGCAGTTTTCCAATACCTTTTCCGCTTTACGACTTTGAGGATTTTCTCCTACAATCTGATCTCGTATCATACATCCAGCTGTATATTTTGCTTGACTAATGAAAGGTTTGAATGCTAAATGGTCGTAAATTATTTTGTGGTGCATCTCTTAATTATTTGAGATTTCATTACTCCGTCGAAACCTTAAGGTCGAGACCTTTTCGAACTGAATATGTTTTTCACTTTAGTATTGATCAGCTTGTGAAACTTTATTATGTACTTCAAACTGCAGCGCAACTGTTTTCTTCTGTGTTGCGTAAGGTATCAAAACTACTTCGTATAAACTTAGGACAGCACGTATTCATAGTGATGAGTACTACAGGTATTGATTCAATACCTGTAGTTACTCATCATGATCAATACCTGTAGTACTCATCATGTCATGATTCTGAGAGAATTACAAACCATCAGAAAGTTTGATAAGTAAGTTGGTTCAGTAAAGTTCGAGCCATCCTTAGAAGCTGCGAGCCTATTTAACATTCTTTTTAGGACTGATAAAACAACATCTCGAATGAAATGATTAAAATCTAAAATATCTGATGGAATATCCTTACACAAATGTTTTTTTATGTCAAATGTTTACCGTACCACAGTGAACTTCTTAAAATGTCAATATTATTCTCCAGTGAACCGTAGAAAGACATCGGTGCTCATTATGAACAGTTTGTTTGTTTGTGAATTTCACGCAAAGCTACACGAGGGCTATCTGCACTAGCCGTCCCTAATTTAGCAGTGTAAGACTAGAGGGAAGGCAGCTAGTCGTCACCACCCACCGCCAACTCTTGGGCTACTCTTTTACCAACGAATAGTGGGATTGACTATCACATTATAACACCCCCACGGTTGAAAGGGCGAGCATGTTTGGTAGGACAGGGATTCGAACCTGCGACCCTCAGATTGCGAGTCGAGCGCCCTAACCACGATTATCAACAAGAAAATACAGTTCAGGATATTCATGCTGCTGTTTTTTTTGTTTTTTTTTTGTTAAAGCTGTCAGTCATTACCTACGTCATGAGCTAGTCTACCACGAATTGTAAAAAGGAACAAATCAAAGACTATTTAATGGCTGACAATTCAAGAACCCTTCTAAAGCACATATCTAAAATGATTTGAACTATGCTGGTCAAAAACCAAGGCTTAAGCAGAAAGATTTACGAAAAATATCAATAAATTTAAAGCATGAAATGTCTATTCAGGATATCCAAGACATGATATCTCAACGGTCATTTTCGAAAACTTTGAGTCGCCTTACAGAATACAACAGGAATATCAAAACAAAGAATGAAAACAATTATAACGTGCTTCAGTAAAATGAGAAAACACTCAACTTTTTCTCAATAAACGAAGTCCAACGCTAAACTTCACGTGTAAGCCATGTGTTTTTCAATCAAATGTAATCATGTGTTTAATTTTTTTCACATGTAAATGTGTGTCAGTTAGCTTTATGAAACAAAAGACAAGACGGTCAAGGATAAATACTCGAATGTATATTATCTTGGAGATAATAACTACAAACTAATATTCGCAATGCACTACTAATTACTATTGGTAATTAGTATTTAACATTAAAAAAAAACTATGTAAAATGCTTATTACGTGACATGCTTTATCGGCCTAAATACACAAGTACATAGTGTGACGAATCATAATGTAGCTGTAGTTTATCAACGTTTTCTCTAACTATACTATACAATATACTGCTTAGGTGAGTGGAACTTGTTGCTCAGTGATACGTAGATCGATGTGCACAAGTATCAGTTGTTGGATTAGGATAATCACTAAAACTCAAAAGTATGCAAGTTTTCAACAATGACGTTTCATTTGCAGCATTACAGCTTATTTAGATGAGTAAACTACTCATTATGTAAAAAGTTTATCTGGACCACTGTATTACAGTGACCAGTTTGAATGGCTTAGAAACAGACGCAAAGATGAATTAAATGACTGTAAATTATCACATAGTTAGGAAATAAAAAATATCGGAAGATAGATCGACAGATCGATATCGTTAATGGCACATTTCGAAGGAAGATCATTAAAGAGATAAAAAAGATACAGATACTAACAGAGAAACATATATACGGATCTTCTCAGCAATGCCAGATGTTTCTACATTCATATACATATAGTGTCCTTGTTGAGAATTAAGTACATTCAGTTATTGCGTTTTACAAACATTTCATGCAAATCAACCTAAAACAAGTTATGATATGATGACAGCGATAAACTCTGCGTGTCGTACAAGGATTAGATGATAACATATATTCATACATATTTAAAATCATATTCTTTGTGTGGAATGTGACAGCGTATACTTTGTGTGTGAATGAAACAATGGGCACTGAATTGGAATGTTCTATGCAGGTGATGTAAAACTAGGGAACACTTATACTCACCAACAACCAAGCACTTACTTCGGAGAGAATACGTCAAATCTGTCTATTTGTTTACTCTCTGTCATATTACATATGTATAGGTCCTGAACAGTGTTTTGTTAACACATACAATTTCACGTGTCATTTTTTAGTGTTTTTCTCAATATTTTGTTTATTTTACTTTTTTACTGATATAGTGAATTACAAATGGTGTCGCTAAAAACCAGTATTTATTAGAGACAACTTGAATACTAGTATTAGCATAGTTATGGATATAAAGTTTAAGTTGTTCACCACTGGACAATACGACATTAGATTGGCCTTAAATTTATTTTCTAATTCTTTTAGATTCTTCCCACGTTTACTTTTGATTTACTTTTGAAATTGGTCTAGAAGAAACACGATTCATTCGACGTTTGCATATTCTTAAGTTTGGACCAATATTGTTTAGAATATCATATTCCAGAGAGTTAGGAGTCGAAGAGATTTTCTGGCCCGCAGGCATGTATAACGCCAACCTTACCCCATGGAGTTAAAAGTTATACTGTTTAAATGGATAAAAAGGTTAGTGATGTATTCAGCATATGTTTCGACAATGAGTTTTGATTTTGTCGGGTAAAAAAAGTTATTAGCGTTCTCAGCATATGCTTAGACGCTGTGTGTTTGCTTTTTATCGAATAAAAAGGGTTAGTGGCATATGTTTAGATGATGTGTGTTTAGTCGGGTAAAAGAGGTTAGTGGCATACTCGACTTATGTCTAGACACTGTGTGTTTGTTTTTTGTCGGATAAAAAGGGTTAGTTGCGTACAACTTATGTTCAGACGCTGTTTTATTTTTCGCCGTGTATAATTTATAAATAATTGAATCAGACAGGAAATTACGTTGTCTTATATATTATCTTAATATGAAAATACCAAAATATGCTTGTTCTACGTATTTACACGCTGAATCTTTGTAAAGGATAAAAATCCTATGATTTTGTGCTCGTGAAAATCACTGCAGAGCCTTCAGGAGGAGTTTATCAAGATCACAACGTGACTTGGAAATAAAATTCAATAAACATTATGTAGTTTCAGTTGTTTGGACAGCTTCAGGTTTATCTGTTCTATTCCTTGCTTTTATTTTTACAGCTCATTGCCTATATGTGCATGTGTTCTTCTGCTATTGGAAAGCTCAAATTCATTTGATATTTGTTGTATTGTCTTCTATGTTTTGAGGAAAGAATAAATTGATAAAATAATTAATTAGAGAGCCATGAGAATGTAACATTGAATGATACATTTACTTCATCAACTTTCTTGATCTTAGGTGTTAGGAGAGTCTAAGGATCTCATCAACTACCTGGTATTCTGTGGTACATTATTTTCATAGCCTTTAAAACAGGATCATACCTGAAGATCAACAAACAAACAATCTATCTGTTGGCTATAATTCGTTTATGGTGACTAAGAATGTCTTATGGTTTTATTCTAAAATTCATTGTAATTTGTATTTTTTTCTTATTCTATTATTTGTACATAACTTCACATTTGGGCTATGTTTAGTGTAGTACTGTATGGCGGGTAATTATATATAGTAACATAAATTTAATTTTGTTTGATTGTTTTTAGCACAAAGTTATTAAATGGGCTGTGTGCGTTCTGTCTACTGCGGGAAATCGAGCCCCAGACTTTAGTATTATAAGCCCAAAAATTTACTGCTGACCTATCGGGAGACCAAATTTAAATTAAATTATTCTAATTCACCCTTTCGTTATAAAACCTTTGACTCTATGTTAGTTAATAATTAATGGTGTAGTAGTGGGATATCAACTACTCGAAAGTTTTCAAATAGATTCATATTTATGTTTGTATCCAAATTATTTGAGAAAGATACAAATAAAAATACATAAAAATAGTTTGATTGTTAATCGATGTTATTTATGTAACGTTTTAGGTTTCATTAAAATGAGAAAATAAATAGACGCAAAATTATGATTTTAAAAATACCTGGTTATACTGATATTATTTCTGTATATTTGCAATTTGATAACTATGCTGTTAAGAAATAAATGTATAACATGTTGAAAGTGGCTTATAGCGGGAACTAAAGAAATCAACTCGTATTGGAGAAATAGCGTACGATCTAGGACAAATAAAGAACAAACCCCCCTTTAATATTTGTTTTAAATTTATCATTAATGGGATTACTGAAGGATATTCAAATATTAACTAATAATCTCATTTCAAAAAATAGTCTGTGTTCTTTCCTTCTAAACACAATAGTCTGTGTTCTTTCCTTCTAAACATAATAGTCTGTGTTCTTTCCTTCTAAACACAATAGTCTGTGTTCTTTTCTTCTAAACATAATAGTCTGTGTTCTTTCCTTCTAAACATAATAGTCTATGTTCTTTCCTTCTAAACACAATAGTCTGTGTTCTTTCCTTCTAAACATAATAGTCTGTGTTCTTTCCTTCTAAACATAATAGTCTGTGTTCTTTCCTTCTAAACACAATAGTCTGTGTTCTTTCCTTCTAAACACAATAGTCTGTGTTCTTTCCTTCTAAACACAATAGTCTATGTTCTTTCCTTCTAAACATAATATTCTGTGTTCTTTCCTTCTAAACATAATATTCTGTGTTCTTTCCTTCTAAACATAATTTAGTTCTAAATATCTTATATAATTTGATTTTTTTTATAATACTAAAAATGGAAATAAGGGATAAGGATAAGTTAAATTCAATACGTCAGTAAGATAAGCCTACTACAGTTTTTTCAATACAGGATAAAAAATGTGTGTGTGTGTAAATCTATAAATTGCAAGAAGTTTAAATCACATTTTTGAGCTATACCTACTTACAGTTAGTTTATTGGTGCTAATTTCATATACAATTTTTTTTTTGAGAGTTACATTTGCATTGTAAAAAATAAGCACCTAAAAATTCGAAGCTTACGTTTATCAATCAGTGAAATAACCACCTAAAAACTCGAAGCTTATCTTTCTAAATCAGTAAAATAAGCACCTAAAAACACTGACCTTACCTTTCTAAATCAGTGAGTCTAGAGGAATCTCGAAACCCTTTAGCGAATGGATTACTGTCAATTTTCAGCTTCGTAATCTGATTACATAAAAATAAGCAATATGAAATGCAAAAAAAATAATAATTTTAATATGAAAACTGATAACCTATCAATAATGAAGTATAAACACCTTAATACAACAACAACAAGAGTTGTAATAACATAAAATCAACTGATATAAAAAACTACAAACTAATGAAAGAATAATAATCTTATAAAATCAATATCTTAATAATAACATAGAAAGTTCAGTAATTCACAAGAACAAAAAATACAGAAATAATTATAGATGTAGAAAACCAACAATTTAATGCAATAGGTAATCAATACATTAAATAGAGAAATATGGTTTCATCATACATTAATAACACATATGGCATTAAAATAATAAAAAATGAAGACAAAAACTTCAAGATGTACAAAATAATGATGTAAAATAGCAAAATCAATACACCGTCATTTCAATTACATATAGATTTAAACAGTCGATAATACACGCTTGTGAGAGACATATAATCCATAAAGCCAAAGATATAAACATGGAGCACGTAAAGCTATGTTGTAATATAAACAACTACAATCATTATGGCAACTACAATTATACAAAAAACAGTGCAATTAATTTGTCAGTATGAATAACCTAATCAGAATTATTCAGTGTGCATTTTATACGCTAAGAAAAATGAGTCAGTTTAGTGTGATTACGTATTTCTGCTGTAAATCAGATTCTATCATAAAATCCGCCATGTACAATACAGGAGCTACTTTTGCTTTAAAGTTGTATTACCATTTGTGTCCAGTTATATACTTAACAAGCGCTTAGTCTGTGTGTGCAGTTGTGCATAAATTACATATATATATAATTCATTGCTTATACACAGATTTTACAACATTCCCTTTCACGATTACGTACAACTTATAGAAAAACTTGAGAGTAAGTAAGAATAAAATTTTATATCGAAACTTCCAAGAAATGTTATGTCGTTTAAGATCGTTCTTTCAGCTAATGTGGTTAGGCTGTATACTGTGAGCATTAGTATGTTCGGCTGTAGATTGTGTTTAACTGTTTTTAAGGAATAGCTTTATTTCGGAGTTCGAATGAAATTTTAATTAATTAAGAATACGCATGAACAACGTGTTTGCACGAACGTACCAGTTGGTTCTGGTAAGCCGTCACTGCTGTAAAGACGGTTTCAGGGAAGACGAAAGTTCTGGTTAGCTCAGCCTCCAAATCCGTTATATGAGAAAGATTCAAATGATCTGACCTGAGTTTAACCAAATGGATCCTCGGCTGGTACTTATGCATCGAGTTTAAGACGATCTGAAAAAAACAAAACATGCTTTTCGTTCTATCGTTTTATACAGTATAACTTCAACTTGTAAAGCTCTGATGTATTTTGAAAGAGATCCAAAAACACTTTATGTAAGTTGTAGGCTAAACATTGGAACTGAATTTTTGTAATAGTTACTTAACTTCAACAACTAATACAAACTGATTGGAATTGAAATAGCGTTAGGCATTGTATAATATTTTTAAATAGCCTAACCTTTTTTTTTTTTTTTTTTTGGTGTGTGTGTACTTTTTTAATACTTACATGAGACTGTTTATCCATGTCGTTATTGGTCAGTTTAACCTTTTCAAATGAAACTATCTGCTTCTTCAGTTGGTCTCCAGTGAAAGGACAGTCCGGATGGAGATAGAGGCGGGGCGGGGGAGGAGGGGCAGCTTTACCGGCACCTAACCAAGAGGGCC